CCCCCCCGCCGCTCCTGCCTCCTACCACTCATCCCCCTTCCTTCCCCCCCGCGGAGCCACCCAACCGCCCCCTCTCTTCTGCCCCCCTCCTCTCTCCAGCCGGCTCCCTGATCCAGGAGCTGCTGCAGCTGATGGGAAGCAGCCGCCGGCTGACCCGGCCCATGCTCCACCTGCTGCTGGTGCCCCACCTGACGGAGCTGAGCCTGCGCACCTGTCCCCACCTGGTCAGCACCGCCATCGCACAGATCATCTCCGTGCGCTGCCTCCCTGGGCCAGGAGCTGCTGCAGCTGATGGGAAGCAGCCGCCGGCTGACCCGGCCCATGCTCCACCTGCTGCTGGTGCCCCACCTGACGGAGCTGAGCCTGCGCACCTGTCCCCACCTGGTCAGCACCGCCATCGCACAGATCATCTCCGTGCGCTGCAAGGTGAGTTGGGAGTGGAGGAGTGGGAGGAGGGCTGGCTGGACCCCTCTTGCTGTCTCTCCAGGGCAGTCCCCGGTGCTTGTGGCTTGGCTCGCTTGCTTGACACCCCTGGATCGCTCAGCTGTGTGTGCACTTTGCCGTCTCTTGGGGGGAGTCAACTTTCCGGCTGCTTTCAGCTCTTTCTTCGTGTCCCAAAGGCTTGCTGCTTGGACCCTCGAGCGGGAGGGGGGGGGTTGGCCTGGGAGATGGAAAATCAGAAGGGGAAGAGGAGCCATGAGGCACAGCTACCGCGGTGGCCCTGCACACCTTCCTCAAGTTTCTCTGTCCACTCCTCCTTTCTCGGGTGTTTCCCACTTGGCCCTCCTGAGGAGGCCAAGCCCAGGGATGTGTAAATGGGAGGCACTTCCTGGTTTGCACAGTTCCGTCTTTCAGGCTTTTCAGAAGCTGCCTGTGTGGAGAAGGGCTTCGTTGCACTCCTCAGGTGCTGAGCCGGGCGTCCGTCTCATGTTCTTCTGTTGCACACGCATCGTGCCCCCCTCCCAATAGATAAACGTTGCATTTCTTCACTGACGCTGCCTCTCTGCCTTCCCTTCCCGGTGCCTGGGCAGAGCCTGTCCTCCCTGGATCTCCACGGCTGCAGCCGGATCCCCTCGGCCATCCTGGTGGACCTGCTGGAAGGCCTGCCGAGCCTCACCAAGCTGAGCCTGTCCGAAACGCAGAGCGACACCCGGGTCCTGTCGGCCGTGGGCAGCACCTGCAGGCGCCTCCGCGAGCTGGCCGTCTCGAACTGCAAGCGGCTCTCCGCGGCCTCCCTCCTCCACCTGGCCTACGATCCCTGCGCAGGGTCCTTCTGCTGCCCGAGGCTGCAGGCGCTCTGGGCGGAAGGGCTGGAGCCTCCCACGGGCAGCCAGGTCTTGGTCCGGGCTCTCGCCTTCCTGCTGCTGGCTCTGCCCGGCCTGAGGTCCTTGGGCCATCGCCTGGCCTCCGAGGCGGTTGCTCTGATCCACGCCCAGCAGTTTGACGGGGCTCAGCTTGCCCCGGGGTTTCCCTCCCTGGAGGAGCTGGTGGGGGGCAGGGGGCCCGCCCACGTAGCCCAGGAGCCCTGCAGGGCCACGCTGCCCCTCAAGTGCCTGGCCGAGGTGAGGGAGCCCCTCTTGCCTGCTGTCGCTGCCACGTGTCCAGACTTGGAGGAGGTGGTGGTGGTGCTCCTGGACGACAGCCCCAGGTTGGGTCACGGATTCCGGTCGTGGAAGACCCTCACCCGCCTGACTCTGGATTGCGAGGAAAACACTAGCCTGGGGGAGCTCGTGCGGGAGATGGCGGGCCTTGGGGCGCAGCTCCACTCCCTCTCACTGGGCGGCTTCTCCTTGGAAGAGGAGGCGACCTTCCACGCGCTGCTGAGCTGCTGCCCGGCTCTCCGGACATTCAGCGCTTCCCTCACGCCTCCAGTGGCCTGGGGGGCCGAGGGGCGGCAGCCAGCTGGTGAGGCCTTGCAGGGGGCTGCCAGCCTCAGGCCTCTGGAACTCCCCCAGCTACGGGCTTTCAGCCTGCTCCTCGCCCCCTGTGACTCCTCCTCGCCTCCCCCCAAGGCCGTGGTGATGCAGGCGAGCCTCGTGTCCCTGCTGCGGGGCTCCCCCCGCCTGGAAACCTTGGCCGTGGTCTGCCTGCCATTCTCCTTGGACGAGGTCTTTGCGGGGGTGCTGGAGCCCCCGGGGGCAGCCCTGAGGCACCTGCAGAGGCTCTCGCTGTCCCAGAGCGACATCTCTCCCAGCACCATCCACCGGCTGCTGGCTTCAGACAACCAGCTGAGCCATATCGGCCTGGAGGGCTGCCCGGGCATCCACCGCCGGCACCACTCAGAGTTGCTCCGGGTGGTCAGTCAGCAGGGCCTGGACGTGGACATCACCTGGGACTGAGAAGGCCGCCTGCCTGACCTGTCTCACCTCTGGGCGGAGGGGCAACTCCACTCTTTGGGCCCGGGCCCAGGTTGCTGCAGGTGGTTTCTCTTGAGGACCAAATGTGGGGCTCAAACTACCACAGTGGAATGAAGAAGAAAAAACTGGATTTATTCCCCATGCCCTTCGCTCGGAGCCTCAGAGCAGCTGACAAACTCCTTTCCCTCCCCACAACAGACACCCTGGGAGGTCGGTGGGGCCGAGAGAGCTCTGACAGAAACTGCTCTTTTTCAAGAACAGCTCTGACAGAACTACGGCTTGCCCAAGGTCATCCAGCAGCTGTGAGTGGAGAGGTGGGGAATCAAACCCGGTCCTCCCAGATCAGAGTCCGTGCACTTAGCCACTACACCAAACTGGCTCTCTGAAGGATGAGATGGCGTGGTTGGATTACTTTAAAGTAAACCAAAGTTAAAGTAATCCAACCAAAGATAACCTGGAAACTGTAACTGGTAGGCCTACTACTGTCTGGGGTGAGCCGCAGGGGACATATGTTGTCCGTTTTGAAACAGCCACATTGGCTGATGTTCTGTTTCAAAGTTCAAGGTGCTGGTTGTGATCTTTGAAGCCCTTCACCGCTTGGGGGCCCACCTATCCGATGGACAGTCTCTTTCCATGTATCTGGATGGCAACTACAGTTACCAGGAAGCCTTCTGTTGGATACCCCATCACTTTGAGGGGGGGGGCGTCTGGTGTCGACCAGAGCCCAGGGGGCCTTTTCCATCGTGGCTCCGGCTCTGGAGGGGGGGGGGCTCCCTGAAGAGGTGAAGGGGAGGCTCCCTCTTGATCTTCAGGAGGCCCAGCCAGGCCTGCCTCTTTGCAGGGGGGAGGGTTTTTTTGAATGGCAGGTATTTTTTAAAAGAGGGAGGGGGGGAGATTTGGGAATTGCCACTTTATCGTTGGTTTTTAGGTGGGGATATTTTTACTATTATCGTAAGCCGCCTTGAACCAAGAGGAAAGGTGGGATATAGAAATGTTTTAATAAATAAAATAAATGAATAAAAATAAATCCTCCCAGATTAATCATTGGTTTTGATTGGGGTACAAGCCCCAGTGCTTCATGACAAGCCTATGAATGTGACACCCCTGGAATTCAACGGCATCCCCCAGGAGGTTTTGGTGAGCGGCCTGGCTCAGTGCAGGTGTGACAAGAGTGTGTTTGTCCGTCCCCCCCCCGCGCGTCACGCCTGGCCACAGAAGAGAGAGCACTGCCCAGTGGCCCTACCCACTGCAGCGGGAGGCCGCCGTCCTGGGCCACCGCCTCTTCTGCATGCTTATTGGTGACCTGGAAGCGGGGACGGGGGGAGTCCTCGTCCTGGGCCCCCGCCTCTTCCGCATGCTTATCGGTGACCTGGAAGGGGGGGCGGGGGGGGGGAGTCCTCAAGAAGTCTGCAGGTAACACAGCTGGGGCCGGGGGGGGGCAGGTTAGCTAGCACCACAGCAGAGAGAAAGGTCATTCAGAATGGCCTTGCCAAGCCAACAACATGGAATTCAGCAGAGGCAGAGGGTTTGCCAGTAGGCCAAAAGAATCAAATGCTGAGGGCGTATACAATGGGGGACATGTTCCTTGGCATGTGGAAAGGGACTACAGCGGATCACAAGAGGAACGAGAGTCAGCAGTGTGAAGCTGCAGCAAAAGAAGCAGATGCAATACTAGGCTGCCTTAGCAGAGGAATGGTATCCAAACCACGAGGAGCAGGCGTTCCACTCCCATCTGTACAAGTCCAATCTCTTCTGGAGTTGGGTAAATTCTAATTCCCATCCCTAATTCCCCTCCCCCCCCCCCCCGAGAGGATACGAGGCTCCTGCCATAAATCTACACAATGGGAGTTTCGTGCAAATGTGCCACAAGCAACAGGAATGTTTAGATATAAAAAAAATTGATGTTCTAAGTATGTTTCCTGTTGTGGCACCAACCTCTCCCTCAGCAAGGGCTGGAGGCTGCTGTGGCCCCACCCCAGAAAGGGATGGGCCCACTTCCAGGTGGCCCCGGGGATGCTGAAATCGTGAGCGGTGGCTCAGTGGAGGCCCCTGGGGTGGTTGAGTGCGCGGACTCTAATCTGGGAGAACCAGGTTTGATTCCCCACTCCTCTACTTGCAGCTGCTGGATGACCTTGGGCGAGCCCTAGTTCTGATAAGTACCAAAAAACAAGAAAACACTGTGATAAAAATAACATTTAATAATTCATGTGAACATCAATATGTATATCTATTCAAACATGACAATTTCGCTTAGGAAATTCTGACATATTTAAGGGAAAGCCCAACATCATGATATCCTCCATGAGCACCTGGTTTTATACTCATTTCATTAGTCTTCTTCAGGAGTAATCCTCTAAGGTTGAAAGGTGTACACCTCTTGATACAGCTTAACTTCTTTTGAATGCAGTTTAACTTCTTTTTTACTGTCTTGCAATTATTACAGCTGAAATTCTTTTCCAAAACATCTTCCAGTTCCATTAGGAGCAAGCCAGTTTAATTTCTAGAAGTAGCAGCCAGTCCACTATTTTTATCTGGCTAGAATCCTTTTTATACTCAAATTGGCTAACAATTGCTTTCTCTCTCATGTAGCTGGCTCAGTTGCTCTCAGGATGGGAGTAGCGTCTCAGTCATCTTTTCTGTCTGGCTGGAATGAAATGAGTATAAAACTGGGTGCTCATGGAAGATATGTTGGACTTTTCCTTGAATATGTCAGAATTTCCTAAGCGAAATTGTCATGTTTGAATAGATATACATATTGATGTTCACATGAATTATTAAATGTTATCTTGTTTTTTGGTATGTACCTAAAACTGTGATCCCTTCCTTGTACTCATAGTTCTGATAAGAGCTGTCCTTGAAAAAGAGCAGTTTCTCTCAGAGCTCTCTCAGCCTCACCTACCTCTCAGGGTGCCTGTTGTGGGGAAGGGGAAGGAGTTTGTAAGCCCCTCTGAGACTCCCTTGGGTAGAGAAGGGTGGGGTATAAACCCAATCTCTTCTCCTCCTTGTCTGCAGGGTAAAAGGCACACCCAGGAGGGCTATGGCCCCTTAGGCCCTAGGGAGCCGGGGCCTACTAAAAGGCTGGGGAATTGGCTGGAGCTCGAGTGGCAGGAAACTGGTGCTGAATCAGACAAAATGTACATTATGGCCCCTCTGAAGGCCCGTCACCGTCCACCAAAGGAGGGCTGCTGTTGCCTGGACAGACGCTCAACCAGCAAGGTCACTTTTGGGTGTGTCCGGGCCTGCTGTCAACAAGGCCAATCCCAGTTTAGGCTTCAGCAACTTTTTATTCTTCACCAAGAAAGTGTCTCTTTTCCAGTCCCGCTTAGATGCCAAGTCTGAAGGTCGATCCGATGCTGAAGGCCCCAGTGGGGATCTCGACGGAGATCTTTGGCTAATTTCAGATGGGTTTCCCTGACGTCAACAGACTGCTTTGCGCTGCGAAGGCCCCTTTCTGTCTACTGGACCCCTGCGTCGCCTGTCCTGGCAGTTAAAATAATGCCCGGAGAAGGTGCTAAAACTTCTGGAGATCACTAATAGGTCCCTAATACAGGAGTAGTTTCCTTAGCATTCAAAAGAAACCACCGTGAGGCCTGTCTTGAGGCAAAGAGGCCTGTGGGCCATTATCAGCTCTGAGGCCAGTCACCCCCTCCCTGGGCAAGCGGTCGGGCGGGTTGCTGGTGTTTATCTTCAACCACTGCCCTTGGCTTCGGGCCCGGATCTGGGATTGCAGCAACACTGTGAATTATCTCCAGCTAGGACTGGATAAAGATACTCTGTTCCTGTTGATATCACTAGACTTCACATTTGATAACATTAAACATGATGTTTCCGTGTACTGACTGCAATCAATGTCTGGGGTCAAAGGGACAGTAATTCTAACAACATAAGAGAAGCCAATGTTGGATCAGGCCAATGGCCCATCTAGTCCAACACTCTGTCACACAGTGGCCAAAAATTCCAGGTGCCGTCAGGAGGTCCAGCAGTGGGGCCAGGACACCAGAAGCCCTCCCACTGTCCCCCCAAGCACCAAGAATACAGAGCATGACTTTCCCCAGTCTGCGAGTTCCTATTTATGCCTTGAGGCTAATAGCCACTGATGGACTTCTGCTCCATCTAATTCCCTCTTGAAGATGTCCATGTTTGTAACCACCTCCTGTGGCAGTGAATTCCAAGTATTAATCACTCTTTTGGTGAAGAAGTACTTCTTTTTATCTGTTCTAACCCGAAAGCTCAGCGATTTCATGGAGTGCCCACAAGTTCTTTTGTGAGAAAGGGAGAAAAGTACTTCTTTCTCAACTTGCTCTATCCCATGCATAATCTTAGAAACCTCAATCATGTCACCCCTCAGCCGTCATTTCTCCAAGCTAAAGAGCCCCAAGCGCTTTAACCTTTCCTCATAGGGAAAGTGTTCCAACCCTTTGATCATTCTAGTTGCCCCTATCTGCACTTTTTCCAATGCTATAATATCCTTTTTGAGTTGTGGTGACCAGAACTGTACACAGTACTCCAAATGAGGATGTACCATCAATTTATACGGAGGCATTATGATACTGGCTGATTTGTTTTCAATTCCCTTCCTAATAATCCCCAGCATAGTGTTGGCCTTTTTTTATTGCAGTCAC